CAGGTTGGATGGGGAGCGTCGCTGCACAGCTAATTTCAGGTCTCACCAGTTCGATCAGGTTCAAGTGCAGGCTCTGGCTGGGCCACTCAAGGACATTCAGAGACTTGTTTCTCATAGTCTAAGAGTCCTTTAGGTGCCTTTTGGCAAACCCCAAGCAGGCTGTCATGTGCCTTCCGTCTGGCCACTTACCATAAAGGCCAGATTGGTGGAGTGCTGCAAAGATGGTTGTCCTTCTGGAAGGTTCTCCCATCTCCACAGAGATTGAATTGACCACAGGTGGACTCCAATCAAGTTGTAGAAACATCTCAAGGATGATCAATGGAAACAGGATGCACCTGAGCTCAATTTCGAGTCTCATAGCAAATGGTCTGAATACTTATGTAAATAAGGTATTTCCGTTTTATATTTGTTATAAATTTGCAAACATTTCTAAAAACCTGTTTACGCTTTGTCATTATGGGGTATTGTGCGTAGATTGATGAGGATATGTTTTTATTTAATCCATTATAGAATAAGGCTGTAACGTAACAAAATGTGGAAAAAGGGAAGGGGTCTGAATACTTTCCGAATGCACTGTAAATATATATATTTTTTGGTATTGTTATTTTTTTGCCTGTTTTGCATGTTATTTTGGCATTAATACGTGTCACATATCAGTTTGGCAAACAATGTAAAAAAAATAATATAATTGAGTTAATAAAGCCTCATACAAACATGGTCTCTTTTTTGCTTTCTTGAGTAAGGCAGCTCCAAAATGCAGGTGTTTCAGCCTAGCTCAGTGCTTTTTGTGGTGGTGGGGCAGCCAGCGGAAAATACGGAGCGTAGGGGTTGGTAATGTTCTCTAGTTGCGCCGTGATTGGCTCAGTGTTCTGTCACTCATGGGGACACTACGTCACCGCAAAATCTACGGGAAGAGCTAAAAAATTCAAGACCCTTGGGTGCTGCCATAGAGTTACAATAGAAGTGCCCATCCAAGAAGGCTCAAGGTCATTGGCCACAGATAAAATGACGTCAAATCACGTTATATCTACCATAGCTTTGACAAGCAGTCATCATAATGAATCACGTCAACAATCTACTGGCAAATCCTTTTCAATCGTCATAATTAAGATAAATTATAGATAAAATGTATCGGTGCTCATCGGCCATTGGACATAAATATTACACAAGTTGGGAAACGCAAATTCAACAATGAGTGGTTTGGAAGGAATCAGATAAAATGTATCGGTGCTTTATCTAACTGCAATCACTATTCTGCTATTCAGTGGAGTGGGTGTTTGGTACAAGTCTGGGTTTAAAGGTCTCTTTTCCAAGCTTAAAAGGATAAACTTTCAACATTATGGGCTAGAAAAGGTTGAATACATTGACCATGCTGTCAATCCAGCATGACATCTACCGCGTTCAAAACAACTGGAAATCAGAGAGCAATGGAAAAAGGGTAAACATTAACAAAGCCGGCTTGCATCACAGCACTGTGGAGAGCAAGAGAGAATCCTTACCAGTCCTGGCAGTGGGAAGCCAGGGTAAGAGAGGGAACACATTTTCCTTTTCCCCTCATGGTCACTCAAAAGGAAAAAGGTAGAAATGGAACATATAAACGCATCAACAATTTACAGATTATAAACTAGGCATGTACTACTGTACGATCACAACCATTACATACATAATTTGACACCATGTCAGTTGAAAATGTTCAATATGACACAGTAGCTTTCAAAACTCAGTCAACACAAGGTCAGAATTTTTCCAGACCAGAGAACAACTAAGCAAATATATTCTAGGATTAAAGTGAGTAAGCAAAAACCACTGATACAGCAAAGTGAAAAATGCATAAAGAAAAAAAGCATTGTTAGCTTCACCCCCCCAAATATAGAAAAGACTATACAAGTTATCAACATTATTGAGTGATCTGATTGTGCTGTGACAATAAGAGTTGGTAAGACAGCACAAACAGATCTTGGACCAAGCTAGTGATAGGCTTCCTCATCTCTCATTATGTAAAAGGTAAACAACACTCTCTCAAGGCACAACAAGAACATGTTAACATAATACAGCATGTTGACATAATACAGTGACTACACAATGTGCTTACTATAAAAATATACTGTGTGTATACATTTATGTCTAATCTGACATAAGATTACCATTGACGGATTAATGAATACACTTGCTCAGCAATTGGTCCAGTCCAGCCATGATTTGTGACCCCACATGAGAAATATCCAGTTTATACTCTCAAATAGGTGAAAAAGTGCAATGTGGGTAAGCCAATTTGTCTGCCTATAAAATGTGCTCTAGATGTGGATAGATTGATCGGCTTTAAAATGTGAAGCTCCTATAAAAAGCAGAGTTAGCAGTATTGTTGATATTCATTTACATTTTAGTCATTTAGTAGACGCTCTTATCCAGAGCGACTTACAGTTAGTGAGTGCATATATATATATTTTTTTTTTTTTCATACTGGCCCCCCGTGGGAATCGAACCCACAACCCTGGCATTGCAAACGCCATGCTCTACCAACTGAGCTACATCCCTGCCGGCCATTCCCTCCCCTACCCTGGGCCAATTGTGCGCCGCCCCATGGGTCTCCCGGTCGCGGCCGGCTACGACAGAGATTCGAACCAGGATCTCTAGTGGCACAGGATCTCTAGTGGCACTGCGTTAGACCACTGCGCCACTCGGGAGTATTCAGAATCACACCCACTACATCTCATATGTATACAGTGGGGAGAACAAGTATTTGATACACTGCCAATTTTGCAGGTTTTCCTACTTACAAAGCATGTAGAGGTCTGTAATTTTTATCATGGGTACACTTCAACTGTGAGAGACGGAATCTAAAACAAAAATCCAGAAAATCACATTGTATGATTTTTAAGTAATTAATTTGCATTTTATTGCATGACATAAGTATTTGATCACCTACCAACCAGTAAGAATTCCGGCTCTCACAGACCTGTTAGTTTTTCTTTAAGAAGCCCTCCTGTTCTCCACTCATTACCTGTATTAACTGCACCTGTTTGAACTCGTTACCTGTATAAAAGACACCTGTCCACACACTCAATCAAACAGACTCCAACCTCTCCACAATGGCCAAGACCAGAGAGCTGTGTAAGGACATCAGGGATAAAATTGTAGACCTGCACAAGGCTGGGATGGGCTACAGGACAATAGGCAAGCAGCTTGGTGAGAAGGCAACAACTGTTGGCGCAATTATTAGAAAATGGAAGAAGTTCAAGATGACGGTAAATCACCCTCGGTCTGGGGCTCCATGCAAGATCTCACCTTGTGGGGCATCAATGATCATGAGGAAGGTGAGGGATTAGCCCAGAACTACACGGCAGGACCTGGTCAATGACCTGAAGAGAGCTGGGAGTAACACACTACGCCGTCATGGATTAAAATCCTGCAGCTCACGCTAGGTCCCCCTGCTCAAGCCAGCGCATGTCCAGGCCCGTCTGAAGTTTGCCAATGACCATCTGGATGATCCAGAGGAGGAATGGGAGAAGGTCATGTGGTCTGATGAGACAAAAATATAGCTTTTTGGTCTAAACTCCACTCGCCGTGTTTGGAGGAAGAAGAAGGATGAGGACAACCCCAAGAACACCATCCCAACTGTGAAGCATGGAGGTGGAAACATCATTCTTTGGGGATGCTTTTCTGCAAAGGGGACAGGACGACTGCACCGTATTGAGGGGAGGATGGATGGGGCCATGTATCGCGAGATCTTGGCCAACAACCTCCTTCCCTCAGTAAGAGCATTGAAGATGGGTCGTGGCTGGGTCTTCCAGCATGACAATGACCCAAAACACACAGCCAGGGCAACTAAGGAGTGGCTCCGTAAGAAGCATCTCAAGGTCCTGGAGTGGCCTAGCCAGTCTCCAGACCTGAACCCAATAGAACATCTTTGGAGGGAGCTGAAAGTCCGTATTGCCCAGCGACAGCCCCGAAACCAGAAGGATCTGGAGAAGGTCTGTATGGAGGAGTGGGCCAAAATCCCTGCTACAGTGTGTGCAAACCTGGTCAAGACCTACAGGAAACGTATGATCTCTGTAATTGCAAACAAAGGTTTCTGTACCAAATATTAAGTTCTGCTTTTCTGATGTATCAAATACTTATGTCATGCAATAAAATGCAAATTAATTACTTAAAAATCATACAATGTGATTTTCTGGATTTTTTAGATTCCGTCTCTCACAGTTGAAGTGTACCTATGACAAAAATTACAGACCTCTACATGCTTTGTAAGTAGGAAAACCTGCAAAATCGGCAGTGTATCAAATACTTGTTCTCCCCACTGTATATATACTGTATATACTGTATTCTATAATATTCTACTGTATCTTAGTCCATGCCGCTCTGTCATTGCTTGTCCATATATGTATTCTTAAATTCCATTCCTTACTAGATTTGTGTGTATTGGGTATATGTTGAGAAATTGTTAGATATTACTTGTTAGATATTACTGCACTGTCGGAGCTAGAAGCACAAGCATTTCAATACACCCGCAATAACATCTGCTAAACACGTGTATGTGACAAATAAAATTTGATTTGATTTACACAGTATGCTTCCTTTTCCAACAACATAATACTTTGAAAGTGAATAAACTTTTAGTAAACTATCCCTTTAAGATCATGATTGATTCAATTAATTTCATTGTCTGTGCTGTGTTTGTGCTGACAAGGACTTTCATATCACAATATGTTTCTTGGCAGCAGATACACATACATTGTTGTAAAAAATATTAACTATTATGGAACAAGTATAACAGAAGCATTGAGACACATGATTAGATATACTGCTATAGGAATACTTCTGTCATCGTCAAGGACACAGGTGCTGTAGAGAAACATAATATTATAATATAGAAACAAACTCCTGCAGGCTAAGGAAGGCAGTGTGTGTTGAGTCGACCAAGGCCACATTGATCACTTTGGTACCAACCCAGCAGGCAAAACTGGGCAAAAGTTTCTGGCTGTAATAACGTCAACTCATTTCAACCAGTTTTGCCCACTGGGAAGTGATTGTAAGTGTCCTACCCTCCTACACAGTGTTCTACCCAGTTCATTTGGACTTGTCTCTGCAGTTAAGCAACCGTTTTACTTTCCTCGCCATGAAGACTGCTATGCAGACACAGGCCACCAGCGTGGCTCCATACTGCACCAGATAGACAGTGGCTTCTGCACCTCCCTGTCCGTGTAGCTGTGTGTAGAGCAGCCGTCGGCCCAGGTAGTCCAGATGCGAGGCCTGGATCTGACAGAGAGTACAGATCACCAGGAAGACGTGGAACAGCTGGTGGCCCTGCCCCAGGAAGTCACAGTGGCCTGGGAACAGACGCTCTGGGAGGGGGTTGGTGAAGAAGAATGCACTGGACAGGAAGAAGGCTACCTGGCTCCCATGGAAGAATATAGCCGGGTCGCCGACTATGCCACTGGCCGGGGCAGCGATGTCATCACTGTGCGACGTGGTCCAGAGGAACCGGAGGAGGAGGCGGTGGAACACCGGGCCGGTATCCCAGGCATAGGCCATTGCTGAGGGAACCACCTGCCCCACCTTCCGGACCCAGACCCGCAGGCTGTAGTTGCGATACTTCCCATAGCAGCAGCCCAGGCAGGACAGGCAGCAGAGGAAGGTGGCAGTGGGCATGAAGACTGGGGAGACCCACCGGTGGTAGTCTGGTTCCACAGCATAGTAGAAGTGAGCCACGGCGCTTCCGTACTGATACTGAGCCACTCCTACGTAATCCAGGAAGAAGAAGCAGTAGTGGTAGAACTCTGATTTGGCGGCCAGGAGGTGGGCTACAGTGCTGCAGGCCATGTAGGTCAGGGAGGACAGGAGGAGGATGAGGAGGGGCCAGGCGTGGGCGTCATGGATGAAGTCCACCGTTTCAGCCAGCTGGAGGAACTTGACCAGGACCAGGAGAGACCCCAGCAGGTGGGTCCACACGTTGATGGACTCGTTGTGACGCTGGAACAGCGACAGGAAGTAGTACCTGTATTGATCAGGAGATGGGACACTATTATGTTAGCTTCTTTAAGAGACGTCTTTACTATTATAAAACCGGATATGTTGTACATAGAATTATGGGTATTGTAGTACATCATGTTACAGTACCTCCAGCCCTGGTGGAGCGGTCGGTAGCCGGCGTGGATGTAGCGCTCTCTGAAGAACCCGGGAACTTCGGTGTCCCGTAGCGTGCCGGGCATGGAGGGGGCAGCCTTGGTCAGCATCTGGGGCACCGCCCTTACCTGCTGGAGGTTGATGAACAGACGCCCAATCTGCTCCATGACGATTGTTGCCATGAGGAATGGTCTGACGGACGGACTGTTGTTGTTGCTGGCTGGACAGCTTCAGAAAGACTGGCAACTGAAAGAGGAGGGTAACACCATTAGAAAAGCCTTTCGCATTAAGAGCTGGCCTACTCTAACACTTAAAAGGCTTAAAAAACAATAGCTAAAAACAAAAAGAGGTTCAAAATTACGTAATTTATTTTCAAACTGCAGCGCAAGTAAAACTATTGGCAGTAAAAACATCACCTTTGTTGGAGGACTCCCCAAACACATCTGACACACAGGTTAAAAAGACAAGTTCCTTCAATTACAATTATGTGCACCTGTGTCAGTGTGCCAGCATGAAATCAAACAACCGAAATAATGAACAAGACAATTAGCATTTGGGGTGTGTGCAATTGGCAATCAGCGCAGGCTATGAAAACTTTGAATGTTGAATGAAATGGCAATGAAAATAAAAATTTAAATAAATAAAACATCACATTACTTGCTCCAGCAGTCAAAATACTTTAAAATGAGTCTCTAGTCCAAGTGAAGGTCTCTCCTTCACAGTTCCTCTGTTAAATTATGTCTCCTCAGTAGAGAGGACTAGCCTGGTGAGTGCACATTCAGTCTGATTTAACCAGGCAAACAGAGGACACCCTTTATGCTGGCCCTACCTGGCTAGGACACCAAGGCCCCAGGGACAGGAGGCCAGATTACACCAGACCTGTTCCGACTCTTGCAGCAGACCTGACAATTTATTAACAGTAGTTAGCCTTAATCTGCAGTTAACCTTGGAGGGAGAGGAACGGTGGTATAGGAGGGGAGAGGAACGGGAGGAAGAACAACATTAACTCTTCAACCTTGAAGATGAACAGAGAAAAGATCAGGATATCTTTCTGAGCAGTGCAATGTATAAAGATAACCCTAATTGCTCCTGTAAGAGTTAAATGACTAAATTGTAAATGTCATGGGAGTCTAATAATTAAACACACAAATGTGTTTTCATCAAGCTATCAAGTTTTCATTTCCTGAACTGGTGAAATAATGTATTTTCAGAAGCATACAGGATATGTATGTCATCCAACCTCAAAGCACTATAATCACGCTATCAGACATTTTACTTTATTATCAGATATTGGCCACATGCCCACATCTGATAAAACAGAGTTGCTTATGAACAACAATTTAGTTGAAACACCTTCAAAAACGGGATCCTTAAAAAAATATACAGTGATAATTACATGATAATAAGGCATATGCAGTCAAGTTAATATAATTTCATCAAAACCTATTTCCTATTGTCAACCCTGTCAAGTATTTGCCTATGGCTAATGTGACTGAGGAATTTACACTGTGGCACCCACGGACTAAATATCATTGACACCAGTGGAGGCTCCTCTGAGGAGGAAGGGGAAAACCATCCTCCTCAGTGAATTTCATAAAAAATTAAAATAGTGAAACATTTAAAAAGTTATCATATTTAGATAAAACTATACTAAATATATCACTTCACCTAATAATTTATTAAAACACACTGTTTTGCAATAAAGGTCTACAGTAGTCTCAACAGCACTCTGTAGGGTAGTACAATGGTGTAGCCGGAGGACAGATAGTTTCCGTCATTCAATACAAAACCTAGGAGGCTCATGGTTCTCACCCCTTTCCATAGACTTACACAGTAATTATGACAACTTCCGGAGGATGTCCTCCAACCTATCAGAGCTCTTGCAGCATGAACTGACATGTTGTACACCCAATCAGAGAATGAATCTAGTACTGAAAGCATAAGCTACAGCTAGCTAGCACTGCAGTGCATAATATGTGGTGAGTAGTTCACTCAAAGAGGGAGAAAGACAATATTGGAACAGTTTTGAAGAACTGTATTTTTTTTAAAAGAGAGAGAGTGAGAGAGAGAGATAGTTATAGAGAGAGAGAGATAGTTATATTTAGTTGTATTTTTTTTTATTTCACTTACCTAGCAAGTGCAGCTAGCTAGTTTAGCCTACTCAAACACCCAGCTCAAACAGAGAGGGATGCTATGTTAGCTAGCTGGCTATGGCTATCCAACACTGGAACTCACTGGAAGTAAAGGCAAGCTTTTGGTTTTATTAATTTATTCCCACCGGGGCCCGCCGGTGTAACTGCAAAACTGCTTTCTGACTGTACACTGTACTGTATGATTGTAGCAGGTTTACTAACACATTCGTTGTAGTAGCTACAGTGGGGGAAAAAAGTATTTAGTCAGCCACCAATTGTGCAAGTTCTCCCACTTAAAAAGATGAGAGAGGCCTGTAATTTTCATCATAGGTACATGTCAACTATGACAGACAAATTGAGGGAAAAAAATCCAGAAAATCACATTGTAGGATTTTTAATGAATTTATTTGCAAATTATGGTGGAAAATAAGTATTTGGTCACCTACAAACAAGCAAGATTTCTGGCTCTCACAGACCTGTAACTTCTTCTTTAAGAGGCTCCTCTGTCCTCCACTCGTTACCTGTATTAATGGCACCTGTTTGAACTTGTTATCAGTATAAAAGACACCTGTCCACAACCTCAAACAGTCACACTCCAAACTCCACTATGGCCAAGACCAAAGAGCTGTCAAAGGACACCAGAAACAAAATTGTAGACCTGCACCAGACTGGGAAGACTGAATCTGCAATAGGTAAGCAGCTTGGTTTGAAGAAATCAACTGTGGGAGCAATTATTAGGAAATGGAAGACATACAAGACCACTGATAATCTCCCTCGATCTGGGGCTCCACGCAAGATCTCACCCCGTGGGGTCAAAATGATCACAAGAACGGTGAGCAAAAATCCCAGAACCACACGGGGGGACCTAGTGAATGACCTGCAGAGAGCTGGGACCAAAGTAACAAAGCCTACCATCAGTAACACCCTACGCCGCCAGGGACTCAAATCCTGCAGTGCCAGACGTGTCCCCCTGCTTAAGCCAGTACATGTCCAGGCCCGTCTGAAGTTTGCTAGAGTGCATTTGGATGATCCAGAAGAGGATTGGGAGAATGTCATATGGTCAGATGAAACCAAAATATAACTTTTTGGTAAAAACTCAACTCGTCGTGTTTGGAGGACAAAGAATGCTGAGTTGCATCCAATGAACACCATACCTACTGTGAAGCATGGGGGTGGAAGCATCATGCTTTGGGGCTGTTTTTCTGCAAAGGGACCAGGACGACTGATCCGTGTAAAGGAAAGAATGAATGGGGCCTGTATCGTGAGATTTTGAGTGAAAACCTCCTTCCATCAGCAAGGGCATTGAAGATGAAACGTGGCTGGGTCTTTCAGCATGACAATGATCCCAAACACACCGCCCGGGCAACGAAGGAGTGGCTTCGTAAGAAGCATTTCTAGGTGCTGGAGTGGGCTAGCCAGTCTCCAGATCTCAACCCCATAGAAAATCTTTGGAGGGAGTTGAAAGTCTGTGTTGCCCAGCGACAGCCCCAAAACATCACTGCTCTAGAGGAGATCTGCATGGAGGAATGGGCCAAAATACCAGCAACACTGTGTGAAAACCTTGTGAAGACTTACAGAAAACGTTTGACCTGTGTCATTGCCAACAAAGGGTATATAACAAAGTATTGAGAAACTTTTGTTATTGACCAAATACTTATTTTCCACCATAATTTGAAAATAAATTCATTAAAAATCCTACAATGTGATTTTCTGGAAAAAAAATTCTCATTTTGTCTGTCATAGTTGACGTGTACCTATGATGAAAATTACAGGCCTCTCTCATCTTTTTAAGTGGGAGAACTTGCACAATTGGTGGCTGACTAAATACTTTTTATCCCCACTGTATGTTGATTAGCTAATATGGTTACAATGATGTAGGATGTCTGTAGCGGTTAGCGGTTATGATATGAAGGTTTGGCTTGAAAAGGTTTTTTCACCTGTTTACGGACAGCTGATGTGTCGTGCACTGAAGACCACAAGTGAAAGGAAAAGGTGAGAGGAGGAGAACGCGTAGATGCGAGAAGGAATGATGCAACAAACAAAATGTTAATGCTGTTTGTATGTGGCTGCTATGATAGTGAACTACGTTTGCGGGTGTATTCATTCCGCCTATTCTGTTGAGAAACATTTCTTAAACGGACGCAAACGGAACGAAACGGGGATTGCACTGAATGAGCTGTATAACGCCATAAGTGAACAGGAAAACACTCATCCAGAGGCAGCACTCCTAGTAGCCGGGGACTTTAATGCAGGGAAACTTAAATCCGTTCTACCTAATTTCTACCAGCATGTTAAATGTGCAACCAGAGGAAAAAAAAAACTCTAGACCACCTTTACTCCACACACAGAGACGCATACAAAGCTCTCCCTCGCCCTCCATTTGGCAAATCTGACCATAACTCTATCCTCCTGATTCCTGCTTATAAGCAGAAACTAAAGCAGGAAGCACCAGTGACTCGGTTAATAAATAAAAAAAAGTGGTAAGATGACGCAGATGCTAAGCTACAGGACTGTTTTGTTAGCACAGACTGGAGCATGTTCCGGGATTCTTCAGATAGCATTGAGGAGTACACCACATCAGTCACTGGCTTCATCAATAAGTGCATCGATGATGTCGTCCCCACAGTGACCGTACGTACATACCCCAAACAGAAGCCATGGATTACAGGCAACATCTGCACTGAGCTAAAGGGTAGAGCTGCCGCTTTCAAGGAGCGGGACTCTAACCCGGACGCTTTTAAGAAATTCCGCTATGCCCTCCGACGAACCATCAAACAGGCAAAGAGTCAATACAGGACTAAGTCTGAATCGTACTACACCGGCTCTGACGCTCGTCGGATGTGGCAGGGCTTGAAAACTATTACAGACTACAAAGGGAAGCACAGCCGCGAGCTGCCCAGTGACACAAGACTTCCAGACGAGCTAAACCACTTCTATGCTCGCTTCGAGGCAAGCAACACTGAATCATGCATGAGAGCACCAGCTGTTTCGGATGACTATGTGATCACGCTCTCCGTAGCCAATGTGAGTAAGACTTTTAAGCAGGTCAACATTCACAAGGCCGCAGGGCCAGACGGATTACCAGGACGTGTACTCCGAGCATGTGCT